TGGTCACATCCTCTTTCCCCACTCACTGCTCCCAGAGAAGCCCCAACCCTGGGATGCCCTGTGTCAGAGCCACCCAGGAGAAACTTTTAAACTGCAGATGGATGGATGGATGGACAGATGGACGGATGGATGGATGGATGGATGGATGATGGATGGATGATGGATGGATGGATGGATGGATGGATGGATGGATGGATGGATGGATGGATGGATTTTGAGACATGTTACCCAGGCTAGACTGCGGTGGTGTGATCATAGCTCACTATAACCTTGAGCTCCTGGGCTCAAGCGATCCTCCCACCTCAGCCACTGAAGTAGTCAGGTCTACAGGCATGTGCCACCACACCTGGCTGATTTTTTAGTATTTTGTAGAGATGAGGTCTCTCTGTGTTTCCCAGGTTGGCCTCAAGCAATCCTCCTGTGTCAGCCTTGGAAATGCTGGGATTACAGGCGTGTGCCACCACTCCTGGCTTAAAGTGCTCATTTCTAGGCCTCTCCAGACCTCCTAAATCAGAACCTAAGGATAGACCCAGAAAACTTTTCACAAGTCTCCCAGTGGTTCTTATGCACCCTAAGGTTTGAGATTCTTCAGACCTACCTGGCTGACATATTTGTGTTAGAAACCATCTGTAATTTCATACTGATCAAGAAAGAAACTACCAGACAACCCAGTCTCCTAAGACGGGGTCAGGACGAAGCCCTTTCCAGATGTTTCTGCAGCTGTGTGATGCACAGGGGCTTCTGCTTGTCCATGTGGTTTGTGGACTATCTTGGCCTCTTTGACAGGAATCCACCGTCTCTTTCCCCTTTTCCGTGCTATAAATCTGGGTTAGTGATATTGCTTTTCTCTCTCTGTTGGTTGTGGTGACTATTGAGTGAGATTGCCAGGGATTTCTCACAATGGTCAGAACCCTAGGGATTACACAATCTACCCTGAACTTTGTAGATGAGGAAACTGAAGCCCAGGAGATACTTTCTTGGTCTGACACAGAGCAGCAGGAGGACTGGACCTAAAACCCTGACTTCCTGACACTCCACCACCCAGGTCGTCTCTTCTGTCTGAGAAAGCACCTTGAAAAGCATTCAGAAGTATGCAGACATACCTGGGATTAGCTGGGTATGCTATGAGCCTACGGTGCCAGAAGGTGTCTCAGACAGGTGTCCTCTGGGATCTAGGGCAGAGCCACCAATGGGGCATCTGCAGCCATCCCTCAATTTGAGTCCCACAGCAGCTCAGGTCACCTGTCTCTCCCTTTTCTATGCTGTTTCCCAGAATTTATTTACTATGAATCCCAGCTGGTACCAAGCCCTAGACTTGTACTGCCCCACCCCACAACAACCCTAGCTTCCTCACCACTGCTCCCTAAAATCAGACAGCAACAGGGTCTGTACAATATGCCTTTCAGCATGAATTTCCGTATTCACTCCCACAATTCCCAAATGAGTCCAGCCCCAACTGATAAGCTATGGGCCAGATGGGTTCTAAGAGGATGAACCTAGCAGCGGCCACCTAGGTGATGGGAATCAGGAGACCGGGTGCTAAGGTTCAGAGTCAGGGTCAGGCATGGAAATGGAAAGTGGTTGTCCAGGATGAACAATTTGCCTCTCACAGTTTCTCAGGCTGTGGCCCTGACCTATATCTTCCCCTAATCTCTCCGTCCCTGGGACTCACCCAAGTGTAAGAGTTCTGTTCAATAAAAACAAATATATAAATGAGGCCAAATTGGACAGTTACTTGTGAACACATTAATATTCAGACAGTTACCAGTCATATGATGTGGAAATGTTATTGACCTGAGACTTTGTCGATTCTACTATTAGAAGTTGCCTTTACATATTTTTTAATTAATAAACCATGAAATACCTTATGTCAATAATGATTTAATTATACTTTTCTAAGAAAAAGCAATTTTAAACAAGGTTGACTTTTTTTTTTATTAGGAATGTTTCCCAGGAGGTAAATGAAGTAAAAATATTCAGTTTTGAGAGAAACAAAATTCATATTACAAAAACAAGAAATCTAAAATGAACATCTACTTAAATTACACCATTCTGATCAAGAATGTTAATCTCTGACTATAACTTGGAGCACAGTAAGAGCTCATTTAGGCCTCTCTCAGGTGTTAGCAAAATTCATATTTCTTCCTTGAGAATTCTTAAGTTTTGCAAAAGCCTGAAGCAGCTGGGAATCATCCACCGGCCTTTCCTCAGATATCTGTCCAGTGCTTGAGAATCCCAGTTGTTTATCTCACTCATTTTTTTTGTTTGCCAGTATTTTATTGAAACAGTAGTTCAAGTAAGGTCCAGGAGCCAACTTCTTGCATCAGAGTTACCAGGATTCTTGTTTAAAATGCAGATTCCTGTACCCCACACCTAACCTACTGGAGGGAGATCTTGACTGGGGCTTGGTGCCTGGGAATCTGCATGTTAGTAATTTTTCACAGGGTTATTGTACACTGTGTCCATTGAGAGACACTACTTTGACATGTGTAGCTGGTGAATCTGACTGTAATCAGAGATTTGAAAAGAGAAAAGCTACAGATAGAAAAGCAAAGAGGGCCAGGTGTGGTGGCTCACGCCTGTAATCCCAGCATTTTGGGAGGCTGAGGCAGGTGGATCACCTAAGGTCGGGAGTTGGAGTTGGAGACCAAGTTGGCCAACATGGCGAAACCCCATCTCTACTAAAAATACAAAAATTGGCCAGGTGTAGTGGCTCACGCCTGTAATGCCAGCCACTTAGGAGGCAGAGGCAGGATAATCGCTTGAAGCAAGGAGGTAGAGGTTGCAGTGAGCTGAGATCACGCCATTGCACTCCAGCCTGGGCGATAGAGCAAGACTCTGTCTCAAAAAAACAAAAGCAAATAAAAACAACAACAACAAAAAAAGAAAAAGAGAAGAGAAAGTCAGTAGCATGTAGATCGGGGTGTCCAATCCTTTGGCTTCTCTGGAAGAAGAATTGACTTGGGCCATACATAAAATACACTATCACTAAGGAGAGCTGATGAGCTTAAAAAAAAAAATCACAGAAAAATATCATAATGTTTTAAGAAAGTTTACAAATTTTTTACGAATTTCTGTTGGGCCACATTCAAAGCTGTCCTGGGCCATATGTGGCCCATGGGCCATGGTTGGACCAGCTTGGTAGGTCCTATGGTTCTGTTAAGTAATCCTACAGCCACCCTAGGATTTACAAGCCTCATTTTTACAGCTGAAGAACCTGTGCAGAGAGTCGGCATGACATGGCCACAGTCACACCGCTGGGATACCTACAACCAGGATTTCAGTTCAGGACAAGCTGATTCCAGAGCCTTTGCTCTTGCTACTGCAGTAGAAGGGACATGGCCTGCCCTCAGGGAGTGGACAGTGCCGCTAGAGGGTCAGCTGAAATACACTAGGAATGGTTAAGGACTAGGGAGAGATCAAAGCATACAGTGCTGCTTGTAAGAACAGGAAAGACAAGAGAGGGCTTTTCCTTCTGGGGGTAGGGGGAGTTGTAAGTCCATGAGTGAAGGTAGAAATCAAGCCCATCAATTGTGGGGCCAGTGAGAAGAGAGCGCCGAGTGGGACACAGGTTTCGTGAAGGCAGCCAGCTGGCATTACTTGTCATTATACTGTAAGAGTTTTATCAACTGGCTACTGTCTAGCAAATGATAGTAGAGAATAGGTTTAAAAACAGCAACTTTTCTTTGGGGATAGAGGCAAACTAGTAAATGTAATTATTACTATTAATTGAAAGTCAGAGAACAAAGCAAAATGAGCTTTATTCAAATTCTGATGGAAAACCTAGCCCATGAGTAAATGTAGACTCCTTTCTCTTTCCAGTGTCGTCCAAAATTGAAAACTACAGTGTTCCTTGGAGAATCAATGATAAAATAATGATTATTATTAGCAAGTAGAGAGCTAGCTACTTAACGAACAGAGCACACATTAGCAGATGCAAACAAGTGTCTCTTTCTCACACTCAAGATTGTTGCCTGTCCCACACCATGACATGGGCTGGCGCGGTCACAGGAGAAACAGAACCCACTGACCAAGGACTCATTTTAAGTGGTACACACACACAGAAAATAGCATTTAAGTACATTAAGTACAACCCTGCTTGTTATTTGTTCCAAGCAGAAAGAAGACTGGGTGCCCTTATTTAATAAATATACATAGGAAATAGTCTGGAAGGATAAACACAAAGTTGTTGGTAAGCTGTTACTATGAGCCAATAAGGTGTAAGTTTTTAAAATCCTTTTTAAAACAAAGGACAGTCATACACCACTTAATGCTGGGGTTTCGTTCTGAGAAATGTGTCCTTAGGTGATGTTGTCTTTGGGTGAATGTCAAAGAATGCACTTACACAAACCTAGATGGTTGTAGCCTACTACGCATCTAGGCTACACAGTATAGCCAATTGCTCCTAGACTACAAATTGTACAGCATGTGACTGTACTGAATACTATAGGCAATTGTAACACAATGGTCAGTCAGTATTTGTGTATATAAACATATCCAAACCTAGAAAAGGTACAGTAAAAATAGAGTATGATAATCTTATGGGACCACTGTGGCATATATGGCCCATCGTGGACTGAAATGCTGTCATGTAGCACATGATCGTACAGTATGCATATGGCAAAGTGCATGAGTCTGATGTGTACAGCTTGACGAACTTTTACAGATACACTTCCATGGCCCTATCACCAAAATTGAGACATAGAACACTCCCTACATACACAAGGTAGCTAAGGGATGCATGTTTTTCCTTTACTAAAGTTTTTTTCTCTCATGTATGTATTATTTGTCACAATGGACAGTATTGCTTTCGTAATTTTCTAAAATTACAAAAGTAATCTAACTGCATTAAGTTAAGAAAATAAAGACTGTGGGTCTTTCAGTTGCTAAGAATGCTGGAAGAGAATGCATTTTTAGTTTTAGGTAGATTCTATCATAGTTTCTTTAACTGATGAAGCCCCGTCCACATCACATTGTCCCTTCCTCCTCCTCCTCCCTAGGGACTGCAGTACATGGAGCTCATCCCCAAGGAGAAGCAGCCAGTGACAGGCACGGAGGGCGCCTTTTACCGCCGCCGCCAGCTCATGCATCAGCTCCCCATCTATGACCAGGATCCCTCGCGCTGCCGTGGACTTTTGGAGAATGAGTTGAAACTGATGGAAGAATTTGTCAAGCAATATAAGAGCGAGGCCCTCGGCGTGGGAGAAGTGGCCCTCCCAGGGCAGGGTGGTTTGCCCAAGGAGGAGGGGAAGCAACAGGAAAAGCCAGAGGGGGCAGAGACCACTGCCGCTACTACCAACGGCAGCCTCAGTGACCCGTCCAAAGAAGTGGAATACGTAAGTTTCTCCCATGCTTCCAGCCAGGCTGAAACCATGCAGGCCCAGGGCTGGACCGTCAGGGCCCCATCACGGGACTTTGTTCCCTCATTCGTGCATTTATTCATGAATTTGTGCATTCAGCAGATATTGGTTACTCATTTACTCTGTGCCAGGCACGGGCCCATGGAAAATGATACAATACCACTGCCCTTGAAAGGCTCATAGTCCAGTGGAGGTCACAGACAAAACCGACACAGTTTAGAGAAGGGACATCTAAGCCTGCGTGGTGGTGAGGGTAAGCTTCAAGAAGTTGGTGAGGTACAAGCCGGTCTATAAAGAATGTCTAGGGGCCATCCAAGCCTTCAGGCTTTGAAGGGAGGATGTGTACCCCCTTAAAGAGGTGATCATTTGCAAAAAGAGCCAGGAGTTCAAGAAAGCACAGTGCATTTAGAGGATTAAAAGAAGTCCCACGTGATTGGAAGTGTGGCATGCTTGGGGAGCTGGGGACACGAGGCTGGGAAGGGCAGCAGAGGCTGAATTTCTGGAGGGTTCATTCCTTCCATCCATTCACCAGTCAAATACTGATTAGCTTGTATTAGCTGCTATGCCCCAGGAAATCAAACAAGCAGAGGACACTGTCCCCAAACTGCAGAATGCCATGAAGCTAGGACTTTATTCCAAAGGTCATGGACAGGCTTTTGGTCAGAGGTACATGGTCCATGCTGTGCTTGCAAAAGTTTCTTCTAGCAGTGTCTTAGTCCATTTTCTGTTACTTATAGCAGAATACCTGAAACTGGGTAATTCATAAAGAAAACGAATGTATTTCATACATATGTGGAGGCTGAGAAGTCCAAGGCCGAGGGGCTGCATCTGGTGAGGGCCTTCTTCCTGGTGAGCACTCTCTGCAGAGTCCCGAAGTGGCTCAGGGTATCACATGGCAAGGGGGCTGGGTGTGCTAACTCAGGTCTCTCTTCCTCTTCTTAGAAGCCAGTCCCACTAATGTGATAACCCATTAATCTATTAAGCCATGAGTGGATTAATCCATTCCTGAGGGCCTGAGCCCTCACGACCCAATCATCTCTTAAAGGCCCCACCTCTCAATACTGCCATGCAGAGGATTATGTTTCAACGTGAGTTTTTGGGGGGATATTCAACCCATAGGAAGTGGCAGTGTGGAAGAAGTGCTGTTGAGGAATGAGCCACTGGGAGCCATTTTGAGAAAACAGAAAGGAGGAGCCAGCGCTGGGGAGATGAAACCTCACGGCTTGGTTTGTCTTAAACTACCCCACAGAAGGCGAAAGGAATGCTTGAGGCTAGTGTGCACTGCATTTCTGGTCCCCAGCCCCTGTTTTACCTTTTGCTCCCCCTGCCCCATCAACCAAGTGTCCTCATTTGTTTCTATGGCAATTAACTTTTGGAGATAGAAGTCCCAGCACACGAGATCCCCAAGCACATTATCTACCTTGCTGAACAGACTGGCAGTCACCCATGAGCCAGGCGACCCAGGGAAATGCCAGCCCAAACGAAGCTGCTGCCACATCCAGAGAGGGTTGTACTCTTTTTCCCTTGGAGTCACTCAAGCTAATCATCCAAAACTTGCATCTTCCATCTCCAAGCCCCATCTTATTAGCACCATCTGGGATTGCCATCCAAGGAAGTGTTTTATCTGAGGACTCTAAGACCAAAAAACGATTTATTTCCTCTACTACAGATTTGGCAGTGATGCATAAAAGGCCCAGTTCTCAGGAAGAATATATGTCCTAGGGATGTAAAAAAGAAAAAAATACTAGATCTAGTTACCATGGTCTATAAACTGGTCTTCCCCGCCCCACCCTGATCCTGGCTTCTGTCCACCCTCAAATAGCTGTTTGTTCATAAACCCTAAATACTAGATAATTCCAAGTTGGAAGGAGACCTCTAAGTCGTTGTAGTATTTCCAAATCGCCATTCCCAAGAGACATGTGGATCTGACATCGTATTTTATTCTTGACTGAGCCTCACATATTTGTTCAGCATTGAACAAAGGCAAAGGCAGCGCGAGAACCCGGGTCCTACAGTCAGTTTTAGGAAATAACTGTGACACTTGAGAAGCATTTAAATAGCAATACTAGACAGTAAATGGAAAAGGCCAAAGTCAGAAAATAAGTAGGGATTCCAAAGGAAGCCTTTATTGGTTGGACTGGGCTGGACTAGCTGTGGGAGACAGACTTCTATGTCCCTGCCCCAACCACAATTTTAATTTAATTATTATGTAATTAGTGAATGAATGTCTGTCATCCTCTGTAGATGCTGAGGTCTTGTTCATCTCTTTATTTGCAGTGGCTGTCATTGATATACATAGCAGTTGCTCAATAAATATGTGACCCATGAATGAAAGTTTGAACTTAAGCCTAAAAAATGGGATCTATTTGGATGGGCAATTTGCCTAGGGGGACGGCACGATTCCAAGTCCACATTTATTAAGCCCCTGCTCTGTGCCAAACACTATGCTCACACTGTCAGGGTCTATCTTTAATTCTCACAGTTGCCTGGTAGGGTGAATGTTACCAAACCCATTTTACAGGTGAGATTCAAAGATAATAGGTAACTTTTCTAAGATCCCATGGTTTCTATGAGGCAGAACCTGGATCCAATACCCTTTCTGTGATAAGATGCTAAGTTGTAAAACCCTGCTTGTTATTTGTTCCAGACAGGAAGAAGACTGTGTGCCCTTATTTAACTCCCTTTTCACCTCCTTGAAGCAGGGGAGTGAATCCTGATAAAGGTAGCTAGATAGGCTGACAGGCCACAGACAATGTGTTCCCAGCAACCCCGCCATTAGGAGTGGGTATGGGCTGCACTCCCTGACCCGTCTGCCTTGCCTCACCAGCATTCACATCAAGTGGACGTGTGTGCTGGCCGCCCTGTACGCTTGCGCCCTCTCCTTTCTCATAAAAGGGCAGCATAGAACAATTACCAGAGCCAAGCATCAGGCAGGAAGCCTGACTTCTGCTCCCCTGGTGAAGGGCAATGATTTTTGCAAGAAGTGGTCCAGGGATTCAACTTGAAAATAAAGGTGTGGGGAAGAAATTGTAGGACTCAGCCTGACACCCCAAAACTCCCATAAAGCTTCATTTTATGGGAGAAAAATGAAGGGCAAAAAGAGAGACGTGAACATACGGGAACTGTAACACCTGCCTGTTTATCATCTTAATCGTGTTCATTGTGATTGTCGTTAGTGTCGGCAAGTCCGTGGGCATTGCCTGAACCAAGGACAGGACTAAGCAAGTATCTGATTTAAAGCTTACAACTGCCCCAATATGTGAAGTGGCTGTGCCTCCCCAGGCTTCTGGGCCTCAGAACTGGGATTCAAACTAACATCTGCCTAAAATCAAGTCTATGTTCTTTCCCATTTCCCAAAGCTTATTCCTAGGAGAGCTACCAGATATTTTGGACCATAAAAGGATCATGTGGCTGGCTCAGGAAACATTAGAGTGAACATGAAACTACAGCAGGAGTGAAAGAAACTACATGGGTTTCTTTACAGAACTTCTCAGAGCCTTTAGTAGGCCAGTGCTGTGGTCCTTAAACTAAAGAAAGGCGTGTTAAACTCCAGAAGCCTGGGTCCCACTTCCAGAGCTTCTTAGTAGTAGGTGTTGGGTGGAGCCTTTGCATGTGCATTGCTAACAAGTCCTTGGGTGATGCTGGTCTGGGGCTAGACTTTGAGGACTGCTGCTAACAGTGTTAAAAAGTGCCTTAGCACTTTGGGAGGCTGAGACGGGCGGATCACGAGGTCAGGAGATCGAGACCATCCTGACTAACACGGTGAAACCCCATCTCTACCAGAAAAAAATACAAAAAATTAGCTGGGCGAGGTGGCGGGCACTTGTAGTCCCAGCTACTTGGGAGGCTGAAGCAGGAGAATGGTGTAAACTCGGGAGGTGGAGCTTGCAGTGAGCTGAGATCTGGCCACTGCACTCCAGCCTGGGCAACAGAGCGAGACTCCATCTCAGGAAAAAAAAAAAAAAAAAAAGTACCTTAGATGTGAGCTCAGCAGAAATGATACCACCAATTTGGCCTATAGTGAGAGTCTAGATGGTAACATGGGCATTTTCCAGATGTATTTGGCCTCCTGGCTCTATGTATGTATATATGTATGTATTTTGAGATGGAGTCTCACTCTGTCGCCCAGGCTGGAGTGCAGTGGCACGGTCTTGGCTCACTGCAAGCTCCGCCTCCCAGGTTCACGCCATTCTCCTGCCTCAACCTCCCAAGTAGCTGGAACTACAGGCACCTGCCACCATGCCCAGATAATTTTTTGTATTTCTAGTAGAGACGGGGTTTCACCATGTTAGCCAGGATGGTCTCGATCTCCTGACCTTGTGATCCACCTGCCTTGGCCTCCCAAAGTTATGTATGTATTTATTTATGTGGGATGGGGGGTGGGTTACCCCAAGCGAGCCCACCTTTGAGAATGCTGCATAACCCTTCCTGTTGCTGGAGAGTTCTGGAAGCACAGGTGCAGAATCTACCACACTATGCTCTGTACCCTATCTTGACGGCCCCCATCCCTGATGACACTAACTCTCTGCAATCTGAGGCCAGGGCCCCACTTTCCACTACACCCACCCCCTGACACACACCAGCTGTGAGCTTCCTCGGCTCCTTCCCACCTTGTCCACCTGCTGGGGGACGTCCTTCCTCTGAGTCCTTGGGAGAGGGCCTATCGGAGCGATGGCAGGGTCAGCCTGCCAAGTCCTCCCACCAAGCCCCCCAACCCAACTGTCCCCATTGGAAAATAATGTCCACACCAGAGGAGCGTTATTGCCAAAATGCCTGTGGGGAATTCCTACTAAGGGGCCATGTTCTGAGTGAGCCCAGATAACAGTGGTGGCCAGGTTGCAGGATGCACTGCCGTCTGAGCCCAGCCCACCTGCATGACCGGACTGTCAGTTACATGATCTGAACACAGTGAGCAGATTCTGACCCCAACCCCAGCTTCCCAACCCCAGGCCAGCAGACGGGCCCTACTGACAGGA